GAACCACCAGTGAACTGACCCATTCAGTTGGCTCATCTATTTTCTTGATGACCTCTAGTTTTTCCATGCGTGCCAGTTCGTCTTTTAGTTTTTCCCGCAGTGCAAATGGGATTTTCCTACAGGGATGCACAACAGGTGGCACATTTTTATCCACACATATTTTATGTTGTCCTGGGAGACATCCAAGTCCTTCGAAACAGTCTTTATATTCTTCCATGAGGGAATCCTGATCATTCGGGGCTTCTGGTGTGGAGACTATGTACACCCTTTTAACCAGGTTGAGCTTTACGCATGCACTGAGTCCTAGGACTGGTTGTACACTCTTATCCACGATCAGCAGCTGTGCTCTTATCTGGTGTTTTTTGTATCTGAATGTCGCAACACATCCACCTTTAACAGGAACTCTCTCTCCTGTGTATCCAGTGACTTTTATTTTCACCGGATGCATTTTGCTCTTTTTTGTCATAGCTTTGTAATGTTCCCATGATACCAAATTAACCTGGGCCCCTGTGTCCAACTTGAATGGAATTATTGTCTCATTAACTTCAACTGGCACCACCCATTCCTCTTTCTCTGATGTAGAGGTGTGTACTTCATCTACAATGAACTCCTCCTCATCCTCTGCTTCTTCATCGACTGTGTGAACTTTCTGTTTTGGAGCTGCTTTACAACATTTGGCATAGTGATTCATTTTCCCACAATTGTTACAGGATTTCCCAAATGCTGGGCACGATTTTGGTCTGTGACTGCTTCCGCATTTACCACATCTGAACTCTGTAGCTTTCCCTTTTTGGTACTTTTGTTTGGTAAATATTTTCTTTATTACTCCATCTTTGCTTAGAGCATGCACTGACGTCTCACCTCTCCGGAGCTCCTTTGCTTGTGCTCGTGTGGTTTCCGCTGCTCTGCACATGCTGACACACTTATCCAGTGTAAGTCCAGTCTCTCTGAGCAGCCTCTCTCTCAGTGCATTATCCACAGTTCCACAGACAATCCTGTCTCTTACTAGCGAGTCTCTCAAAGTCCCAAATTCACACGATTTGCTTAATGTGTGAAGCTCTGCTAAATATTGATCAAAAGGTATTCCCTGCTTCTGATCATGGGTAAAAAATTTGTACCTCTCATAGGTCACATTTTGTTTAGGTACGAAGTACTCTTCAAATTTATTCATCACGTCAGCCAAAGTCAAATCAGCTTCATCCAGCTGAAAGCTATTATATATATCCAATGCATCTTCCCCTATAACATGCAAAAGGATGTGAGCTTTCAGTTTTTCATCATCTCCCCCTGCTCCGCTTGCAGTCAAATATATATTAAACCTCTGCTTAAAGCGCTTCCAGTTTTCAGCAAGGTTACCAGTCACTTGCATGGATGAGGGCGGGCTTAGCTTATCCATGGCAGCACGTCGGGGTATCTCAATCACTGCAGCTCTTTACTGTTGTCTATCTGCTCTCACAGGCACCGATTCCTCTTCTGTTTGCTCTAAGTGACCACACACGATCAGCTTCACTTTTACCCTCGCTCCCGGGCGTCACACGATGCAGCACCGGTCTTTAGCATGTAGCTCTGTAGCGCGCCATTACTCACGCTCTCCATAGACTCTCCCTCTACATCCGTCTTTCGCGGCTCCCCCGTGGCAAATCTGTCCTTCGTCTTGCTCACGGCCACTTCTGACACCATGTGTTGTCTTGCTTAATCTCATAATAAGCAAACGAGGCGTGAAAACTCCTTTTCCAGATCTTTATTTAGCACTAGCCACCACTACTGTATCATCCATGCAGTTTCCCTCCTAATCTACTCCCTGCCTTCTGGGTAATTGAGTTCTTTCTGAACTATCTCATAACATCACATCTTTCTCCCTATGGAACAATAATAATTAACTCTCTCATAACATCACAATACCTGTCTGTACTTATTTGATTGATGGTATTTTTACTTTCTATTAGACTCCAAATGTAATTATTTGGCACGTTTCTAATTCATAATTTGTAATAATGTAATCTGCGATATTAGCATTAGCATTCCTATGGGTTTTTCCATGTATATTAGCATTGCGCTAACCACTCGCTGCCAAATTGCAGCCTTTGCCATTAGAAAATCTTCTTTTGTCACATCGCAATTTCATTGCACATGCAGTTAATCGTTCAGCCCTATTATACTTGCAGCTCTATGCTAAAAGTGTATTTTCAAAGAGGTAATGATGGATTTCTTTGTAAAAGTTGTCCATCTTTCCAATAGAAAAAAATTTGCCTGGACCAACGTCACGTGATAACAACGTTACGTGATTACGTAATTCCGTAAGGTCATGTTCAGCCAATCAACTACTTAGACGTCATCGGCAGTCGACGGACCCGAGCCGATCTTGCACCCGAGCAGATCTTGTACCGACACCGGGAATTGCTTTGCAACGCTCTGCTGCCTGAACAGAAGTTCGAATGTGAAAACCTTTCCGATACTCCGTGTGCGTCTCTCCGTTGTGGAGCTCACGGAGATGTATAAATCAGGCTTTAGAGATAGGGTGAGAAGCTTGTTCATCCGGGAGGGGCTCTGTAAACCCGCTGTTCCTCCACATCGAGAGGAGCCAGTTGGGGTGGCTCGGGCATTTAGTCAGGATGCCCCCCCTGGAGAGGTTTTCTGGGCACGTCCAACTAGGGGGAGACATAAAGGAAGACCCAGGACACGCTGGAGGGACTATGTCTCTCACCTGGCCAGTCTGGACCTCCTTGCTGCCCCGGCGACCCGACCCCGGATAAGCTGCCAAAAATGGATGGATGGATGTAAGAAAAATGCCACTTAATCGTCTGATCATCATCCAGTCCATACTGGTGTTCAGTTTCTCTGTTTCCTGTTTCTTTTCATGGGGCCTTTAGAAAAAAGACAAACTTTAAACCATTTTATTCCTGAACCACAATAACTGTTTTCTCTTTAAAGCAAAAGGAGTTTAATCTTTAGATAACTGCCGTTTCTCTTAACTCTCTGATGTTTTCTAACGGTATTTTTTATTTATAGTAGTAATAAAAGTGGTTCTGATTCTGTTCTGTAGTCCTTTTTTTGTAGCGTATGCCTGAAACTAAACATTACACAAATTATATTTTAGGAAGTAAACCGAGCATGCTATGAAATATCTTTGCTTTTATTTATTCTCTCTGGTTCAAATGTGTTATTTAAATATAAAACAATAACTATTCTGTTCATGTAAAAGGATGCAGGGTAACATTTTCACATTTTTTTATTATTTCTTTTTTGTTTAGTTTTTCAGGTAATAAACAGAAATCTGGACTGTAAACACACAAGAAAACAATTCAGAGAGTCTGTATGCATGAACACACTCTGACATTTCCCCTTTGAAACAGAACCTCAAAACTCTTCTTTACATCTGGGAACGTGCAACACCACAAAAGCGCGTTGGTAATTGTTACCAGCAGCACTCCTTTAACCCACTTATGCAGACTCATACATCGGCGCGATGTGAGGGCTTGTTGTCTTACGCCACCGATTTGAAATCGAACTCACATGTTTGACGTTGAACTTGATGCAAGAGTTAAATTTGTCCTCAGAAATCTGTTTCTCACCATGATGTCACCAACACAACAACTCCTAATAAATCTAAACACGTTTCATTTCCTCTGATGGACGTAATTTTGGGGGGGACAGGGGGGACATGTCCCCCCCACTTTTTCCAAAGTCAAGTTTTGACCCCTGCTCTTTTTACCATCCAAAAACAATATTATGCTATATTAAATTGACACTGGTTGAGCTCTAGGACCAAGCGGAAAACAACCATTTGTGTTGAACCCCATTTCCCATTAGAGCATACTGTAAAGACCCCCCCCCCTGTGTCCCCCCACTTCTAAAGTGAAAATTACGTCCATGTCTGAGATTAGTTAATTTGATTCCAAATCCTCCAGAAAGGTGTCGTTTGGCTGTCCGCTGCAACAAATCCGTCTCAGACACTGAATACTTCTCATGCTAAACAGCGCCATTCTGCAAATGCTTTATGCACAGAACTCATTATGCAAGCATGTCCACAGAGAGCGTCTGGTTCCTCCGTCTAGCTGCGGTCCTGATTATGTATGTTTGGATCATGGCTCTGGATTCTGTCTGGTTTTATTGTGCAAAAGGGGGCTAATGATGTGAAGATGTTCTCGATCCTTGAGTGGCCTTTAATCTCTGTCCATTTGATCTTCTTTGGGTTTCCTCAAAGACTCCAGAGAGGACTACAGAGTGGAATGACAGATATTTTCATCACTACTGTCATGAAAACAAATCTTTAATCACAACCATGGACGTAATTTGGGGGGGGGGGGGGGGGGGGGGGGGGACAGGGGGGACATGTCCCCCCCCCCCACTTTTTCCAAAGTCAAGTATTGACCCCTGCACTTTTTACCATCCAAAAACAATATTACGCTACATTAAATTGACACTGGTTGAGCTCTAGGACGAAGCGGAAAACAAGCATTTGTGTTGAAGCCGGTTTCCCATTAGAGCATACTGAAAAGATACCCCCCCCCCCCCCCCGTGTCCCCCTCACTTCTAAAGTGAAAATTACGTCCATGATCACAACCACAGCTTTTTCAGAAAAAGGTTGGGTTACGTGCGCTACAACTCAATCAGTGTCAAACTGCTGACTTATAGTTGAGAAGGTGGAACATTTTACTGTTGCTGAAAGTGTCGCAAGCTCGGATTATCTGGTCAAAACAAAGCCAATAGGACATCAAGATGGCAGAAAAACACCACTCTAGTTTAACTACACAGTGCACTCATTAGTTTGGTTAGATTTACTTAAAAACAAACAAAAAAAACCCACAAAAAAGTTTAACTAAAACGACTCCTGGAAGTGATTTTAATCTAAAACACATAAAAAAGCAGGGATTCACATCTTAAACACGGTCAGTAGTAAAATACTTTTGTTACTTCTTTAAATTCGGCTTAATATGTGCACTGCACATTGGAAACTTATTTGTAAATCCCATTCATCGGTTCAATCTGCATCTCTAAACTCAGAAATCCTTCTTCCAAAATAATTTTTTGAAGACGGATTTGTTGCGAGGCCGCGGCAGGCTCGCGAAGCTCCCCAGAGCGGAGTACTTATGTGTGTCCTGCTGCCATCCATGCAGCGGCTGCAGAGGGGGGTCCAAACTTCTGCCTGATGAGCCGTTTGTCAAACTGTCCCCGACCACCACAGTCACACAGTAGTTGGACCCTTTTTCCAGCCCCTTACCTGCAGCAGAGGGCAGCACTGGTTTGATCTTCTGATAGGTTGCTGGAAGAAAAGGGAGGATTAAAAAGTCAAAATTCACATCTCAAATTTAGAAAATGAAAAGCCTACCAAGTTTTGTTTTATTCATTTTGGTCAAACCTTTGAATCTCATGTGATCAGTCAACACTCACAGTAGATTTTAATCAAAAGGGTAATCAGTTTTTCACAACATCTTTGTGAGTTTTATTAAAATCCATCCCATCATGGTTAAGGAGCTATTTTGCAAACAGACAAAGTTAACTCCACTAGAGCTTGTGTGGTGTGTAGCAAGAGGATGACTCGAACTATCATGAATGCAAATTTTACCTCAATAAGACAAAATATGATCATTTCTGACCTAAAGCTTATAATTAGCTGCTTTATGCTAACATGTACTAATAATGCTAATAAAAGACCAAAGCTAAACACTACATCCTTCATTTTGATTAAAAGGTGCAATTTGTAAGGATTCTACAGTGAAATAATCACAAAACAGTCTAATGTCTCAGCCATGTTTGAAGGAAGGTTATATTGAAACAGATTTTATCCTCTGCCAGCTGGAGGGGTTGGGGGTTCAGTTTTCCTCCTTTAGGAAAAGAAACTGAAAGTGGGACGTAGTTGCTGTTTACACTCTGTGTTTGCGAGGTTGCCAAATCAGCAGCGAGCTAATGCTTGCGCAGCAGCGCAATCACTGTAATTTGACTCCGGCAGTCAAAAAGCTCCAGAGCTGTTTAAATAACTGAAGCCAGTAAACAGGAACAACAAAAAAGTTATTTCTTAAACCCCAAAGAAGCCAGGGCATTATTTTGTTTTACTTTAATATTAGGTGGAGTAGGCTAGAGGCTAACGTTGAGCTAACAATGCTAACAGTGAATTAGATGCAAATATACGGATCTAAAAATGTTTCAAGCTACTTTTTCAGTTACCAACAACTCTATATTACGGTGAAATGTGTGTGCGAAGTGAGTAATGAGTCAGTTGTGGTGTTTTACTTCCTTTAATGAGTCGTTCAGAATTATAACAGCAAGCTAACGGAAACACGGCAAGCAATCTCACTTCCTGAAATGCGCAGTGAGAAAAGTGTAGTAAGTTCCCTACTATCAAACACCCAAGAGTGCTAACACCAGATTTGACAACATATTTATCAGCTTACTGACTCATTTTTGCTTGTCTTCTAGATCCTTCTGGTGCTGATCCGCAACAGTCAACTCACATAACGGCAGTGAGTAAGTAATCATTTTACCTAAAATTTGACATTTAACCATAGGATGTCACTCTAGCAAATTGCACCTTTAACGCACACCAATGGTGCTGCTGAAAGTTTTCCATCCGAGCAGAAACGGTTCTCTGTTCTGAATATTTGTTATACAGAATTTGACGATTACATGATTCGCTGGATTAATATATCAGATTCTTTTACATTTTTATTAAAACCGTATCGACTATCTCAAATAACATTGTTTTCAAAGTCAGTTTATTTTATTAAACTCCTCCTAGTGGTTTATGAGCTACTTTGCCAACAAGCTAAGAGCTAACTGCGCTAACCATATGTTTAAAGGCAATATTTTAAATGAAGATCTTTACACTAACATTCAGACCTCAGCATATGCATTGAGGTTGACTGTTTTACGTATTTCTATCAAAGTTTTTGTTTAATATCAGCTCCACTGGGAATTCCCATCCAACCTGATGTGAAGGAGTGGGAGCGGCGTTTGCTGCTTAGCCACTCCTCACTGCTGGGGTCGAGAGAGAGAGGGGAGGAGGAGGTCTCCTCTCCAGGAAATCTGTGCGTCACCGACTGAGTCCAACTCCACTTATCATCACCTGAGGAGCAGCACAAGAGGAAAGCTGAGTAGAAAATGCAACACAAGTCTTTATGCAGCCATGTGCGGTTTCACAATTACGTTTTGGCGCCCTCTAGTGGTTGATCATAACAGCTGCTTCTTTTGTTGGCGGCATCAGAAATCTAGGGTAACACTTACTAGGGAGGCCTGTTTCTGAGGATGAGATGGTTGAAGGCTCATTCCAGGATTTCTGGGTTTCAGTATTTTCCGTTTTACTCGTTGGTCTGTGTCTGGGAAACGTGCTGGTGATGTCATTCTGAGAGGAGCAGCGACAGCTGGCTTGATCCTGACATTTAAAACACACGGAGGGCTTTCTGAGGACAAAGGAAAGCGATAAATCATCATTGTGTAGAGATTCCATACAAATTCTGGGTTGATCTTACGTTTTTAGAGTCTTACAAGAACACGGGCAGGTCCTGGTCAACACGAACGCTCGATCGTAAACTTGCAGGATCCTTTTGGCCTTTGAAAAATGACAATGCGTTTTATTAGTGGCTCATTAATTAGGCTGTGGCGCCAGTGAGGTGTGATATAACCATGCTCACCTGTGCTTGCTTGGATCTTCATGATCCATTTTTTCATAGTGAAGCGTGAGGAGGTGTTGAACAGATATTCGGACCCATCCCGAAGCCTGAAGACCAGAAAACCCACAATGCATCACCTACTGCCTTTAAATCTGTGTGAGCTAAAAGGTTATTACGTTTTAGTACCGTAGTCGAAAGCAGTTGGGTTTTTTGGTGTAATCTGGAGCAGGTGAACACTCAGCTCCCTTCAGGTTCAGTGGAAGGCCGTAAGCAGAACTCTGCGGCACAAACCCAGCATTAGTCACCAGACATTCAACTGCTCCCAGATAACATTCCCAGCTTCTTCCTGCTTACTCGCAGAGTGTCCTTTCTATCCTGGAAGAAGCATAAGGTGTGTCGGTGCAGGACGGCGTGGTAGGAGCTCCAGCCTCTGGAGGCCGCCTGTGAAAACAAGATAAGAGCGTTGTGCAGCTGACTGGGAACTTTACGTGTGCTGACTGCATCAGATTCAACATTCCTTACTTTCTTTCCTCCCAGCTGCAGCTTGTGCTTCCTCTCCAGCGTCCCCTCCATCGACTGCAGCTCGGGTTTCCCGCTCTGAATGGGATTTAAATAGAGAAACACATAATTCAGGAACAAGCAGGATTCCCAATTGGACACTGAATTGATTTTTGTCTCACCAGGGTGAAACAGCGCCCTCCAGTGGACAGATGCTCTTGTGTATTCCCTCCTTTTTCCTGCTGAAAAGACCCATCTGAGCCCGCGTGGACGGACTGGTCGTGTTCAGGAGAGAAGAAACATCAGAAACGTTGCATGTAAAACTAAGCGAAACATCTCTTGACAAACTTGTTATTATAACTCATTCAATTATATTCACAGCATCATCAAATATCAAGATAAACATGGCTGAGTTGAGTTCGTGAGTGAAACGTCTGGCTGAAGGTTTGGAGAATGGCGAGTCTGAGCTCATCCACGAGCAACGCATTTAGCTGCTGGTCATGTTTGCACTTGTTACACAGAATTGTATGTAAACAACTAGGGATGCACCGATGGATCGGCATTTGATCGTAATCGGCCGATAGCGCCCCTATCGGTTTTGATTGGAGTTTTCTAAATAGATCAAAGCAGACCGATCAGGTAGGGTTGTCATGGTAACCAGTGTAGCGGTAAACCCCGGTTTAAAAAAAAAAGTTGACAATAATAATAACCGTCTTGTTTAAAAAAAAACTATATTATCTCGGTGGGTTACCGTGGCTGCGGTGTAGGGGCGGTGACCCTTACCAGCCACCGTATCATCTGCTGAAGTTGCCGGCGGCACATGCGCACTTTGTTGTTTACAACCAAAACTTTCTTCAAGCTAAAGCTGAAATAATGGCCAAAGGAGGAGACGGCAGCACTCAGGACATTTTTTATCCCTCAAAGAAGACAAAGTGGGAAGTACGGGCATCTTATGGATATTTGAAGAATGCCGAGGGACAGCTGATAGAAGACGGCTATCCTGTTTGCAGCACGTGCAGAAAAAGTGTCTGTGAAAGGCAGCAATGCTTCAAATCTCATGACACATCTGCGTGACCATCACCCACAACTCTACAGTCAACGCAAGGCAAGCTAACGTTAGCGTTTTAGCTAAAATGCGTGATCCGAGGATTTGGGTTGAGGGAGAATGCAACGAGTCGCTATATAAAGCAGCCGCAGCGCCGCTACCTGCATATAAACCGTGTCGCGGACACCGCCATGTTGAAATGACGCTATGCATTACGGGGCTCCCAGGGGCCGATAAGAGTTGGTCTCTCTCCGAGAATAATTATGAATTTAACAATGATTACTGCCTGATGACATTTTCCCACATCTGCAAAGCTCACTGGAAGGACACAAACCGAGGACGATATTTTCCTGATATAGGGTTTATTACTCAAGTAAGGGTAAAAAAGTATCTGATTAGAAGGCTACTTGAGTACTGAGTATCATCTGATCTAATATTTTTAAAATGATGACATCAAACAGACAAAACATAAGAAGTTATGGGTAAATATTGGTGTTTTAAGACTAAAGGGGAAAAATGTAAACAAATAAACAACATAATTACAAAATAACACATTTTAGGCAACATTTAGACACAAACTGAGGACAATATTTCCTGACATACAGGGTTTATTTAATTGTGTGAAAATGTAGCACGTTTAAAAAAAATACCGCGATAATACCGAAAACCGTGATAATTTTGGTCACAATAACTGTGAGGTTACATTTTCACACCGTGACGACCCTAATACACACCATTTTAGATTAGGTTACATTTCCTTTATTCCCAGATTATGTAGTTTGTAGCACTCATTATAATGTTGTAGAAAATTTCTGGCCAATCCACGTGATCGGTATCGGTGATCGGCAGCAAAAAACCTGATCGGTGCATCCCTATAAACAACCCCTGTGAAGCAAAATTGATGGAAATGTGAACATATTTTAAAATGATGGTTGTGAAAAACTGCTGAGAAAAGAAATCTGGCTGCAGCTCGCTTTGATCTAGTTACATTCAAACCGATTCACCAGTCCTGTCAGATGTAAACACTATTTCTCTGAACAGAGGCCCTTCAGAGCCACATCTATGAAAGCTATGAATGAAATCTTACAGAGTACGTAAATGTTTCTGCCTTCACATATGCAGACAGGTGTGAAGGAGTCTCACTGAAGGAAACGTCATCATCTTTACCTGCACGTAACTTCCTGACTCTTCTAACTCCTCCCCCACCTCCTCTTCCTCCTCTTCGTCCTCTTTGTACTGATACACATATCTGGGATTGTCCCCCATGTCTGGTGGCTTCAGCTGATCAGACACGGTTTCATTCATCATCACAGACGTCTTAAAGGCCGGTTCCCTGTTAGGAAAAGCCGCCCAGGATTTCCTCTGTCCTGCATCCAGTGTGGGAAAACAGTCTTTGTCCCTCTGGCTCCTCTTGTGACCCAGAGAACTCTGAACGAGGGACGGTAGTTTGAACTCCGCCATGAGGAGGTTGGGTGCTGAGGCTGTGACCAGGTCTCTGTACAACACGGTCCCCGTAGGCGAGCGGCAAAGTGGTTTACTGACTTGGTCAGAGGCTCTCAGGTCCTCCTGGTTGGGCTGGTACATGATATCTGAGCAGATGCTCTGCCTGTGGTTTGTTGTCTGGTTCCAGATGTCCTCCAGTTCTGCTTCTTCTTCCTCAAACTGATGGTGGTCCAGGTGCACCGGATCCGTGTCCGTATCTGCTGGGTCTGGAGACGCATTGGAAGACGATGCAGCATTTCCTTCAGTGTTGGAGGGAGCTACACCCCCCACTTCCAGAGACACGAGCCTTCCCACCACTCCTGTGGGCCACAGAGGATCTGCTGCATCGGTGCAAACCTTAAAGCTGCTGGACGTGGAGATTCCAGAGTCTGCAGAGTCCTGTCGAACGCTGATGCTCATCGTCGACTTCAGATTGACTCTCATGTGAGACGCTTGGTTTAACTTTGGCCGAGGACTCTCCTCCTGCTCACATTGGGATTGTGCACATCTGTGGTACCGGTGTCCACTCAGGTCCCGGATGAGCGTGTGGACGCTGAGACACTCGTGTTTATGAGGGACCAAAGTGCAACTTGAGGCTTGTGAACTTTGACTTGGTCCATCTTTTTTAGCTGTACTGGATTTCACATCTCCACCTCCTGACTGAGAGAAGCAGGTTCTAGAAACATCATCAATCCGTGCAATCAAACCCCCGTTTTCTCCAGGGGGAGGAGCAGGCGCACACCTGTCGTCCGCATGAGACGGATCCGTTAGTGCTGCAGGTGGGCCGATTCCTGCTGAGTTCTCTTTGATCGCAGGAGTAAAGGGAGTGTGTCTGAACGAGCTCAAGCCCGTGCTCCTCTGGGAGAGAGGGTCTGGGTCGGCTCCTCCGCCTTTCCTGGATTCTGCAGGGGGAATAGTAATGACGTCCTGAATGCTGGGGATAAGGCTCACGTCTTTGGGCAGATCGAAGCTCAGCACCGAACCCAGCGATAGGAACCTGCAGTGGCTTTTCACCGGACCTGCTGACGGTCCCGCCGATATGGCGTACGGAGTAATGGCGTATTCTCCAGAACATTCAGTGTCAATGACTTTGAGCAGAGGATTCTTCATGTAGGCCACAGCTTCTGCCCCGCCACCGGTTTTCCGAGAACCCTTCTTTCTTCGCTCTTCCTTCAGAGGCCATGTTTGTGTGTCATAAGCGATTGGCTTGCACGCGTCCTGGTGCATCCCAGCCACCTGCTCGTCCACTCCCATGATCTTCTGTATCGTGTGCCTGCGCACGTCTCTCTTCCTTTTCCTCTTCTTGCTCATCCTCTTGAGACTGCTGAAGATGGAGCTGCTGCCGCTCCTCGCCAAAGGGTGGAAGGTTACGTTGGCCGTTTGCGGTTCGGGTGCCGGGGAAGAACGCAAAGTGGAGGATGAGGAGAGCGAGTCGGAGTCTCGGGGGGCCTTTTGGCGGGGGAGGGTGATGCTCTCGTACACCGGGGCCACAGCCAGGTTGTTGTCCTTGACATGCAAGTAGGTGCTCACCTATGAAAAGAGAGGAAACGATACGGTTGATGCGATGCGTGGGGAACAGTTAACCCAAGAGCGACACATGCTCGCTGCAGACTTGCAGATTTCTGTCAGATCAAATGGTTTTATTATGGATGAGAACGTGAGAGCAAAAAAAGGAAAACAACAGATTTAGGAGGTCTGAGACACAAACAACTACGAAATCTAACTTGTGAGAGAAAACAAAAAGTCAGACGAAACACAAAAAGAACACGACTGCAGACTTGCAGGACTTAATCAACATCAGGTGCGACTGTACGTGTCGTCATACAGCTGTAAAGTCCTGACCTTTCACCTCTCTGACTAATCTCTTGTTTCTGTGTGAGCTGCAGACTATAAATCATGATGTGCTGTCAGGGGCCTTTTGTAAAAAACAAGGGTTCGGCTCTCGTTCCCCGTCTGACGGTTCTGGCATCAGTAACACGTGGGACACGCTCCTGCCGGGAAACCTTTCATAGGAAAAGTTTCGTAGGAAGCGAGGATGAGGTCACTCGTTTCACACAACTGCGGCGGAGCCAGGGAGAGTCAAACATGAGCAGCTTTGCATCAGACTTGCGATGAAACGGCAGAGCGAGAAGAAAGAGCTTCTGTCAACAGTCGAGGCAGGGAGGAGACGGCGTGTACTTTCCCCACTCATCGCCCAACTCCTGTTAGCATGGCCGCTGCTTTTCAGGTCCAAACGCTGCCTTGCTTCACTGGCTGAGGCGAAAAGAGCAAACCGACAGACGTACTGAATCATTTTAGAATTTTCAGCCGGAAGTTGAACCATTTGTCCAAGTTTACGAACTGAAACGACACAAATCAGACTCCTGTTCAACTCCAGCAAATCCAAAATGCTCACAAAGGTTTTCAGCTTCTCACGTTTAGATCTCTTTATTTGTGAAGGAGTCAATTTGGGCCAGTTTGAATTGAGTTCCCTCGCAAAAGTTTAAAACGACGACTCGTAGGTAGCTGCTCGGATGGCCTCTGTTCAGAGAAATGATTTGGATTCTACAGGACTGACAGGCTAACGGCTAGTCTGAGTGCATTCAAGAACAAAGCGTATTACTGCTGCCATAAAACAGTTCATGCTAACTTTACTTTAATGGTGAAATAATGTGTGTGGGTGTGATGCTCAGTGAAATGTAGGAGATTGGAGCTGTTTTAAAGGGACACTACGTCTTTAAGGTATTCCTTTAAAAGCAGGTTTCAGTGATTCTGTAGGCAGAAACTTTACCTACTTCACCTACGTCTCTCTGCAGCCCTCTGCTGGTCAGATTCTGTGTTTAACAGTTTGTGGGATGGGTAGGTGCCCCACAGGAAGAGCCTTCTACCTGCTTTACTGCTGTTAGCTGTTTACTCAGCCAAAAGTTGGTAGTCCAAGCTAGCGTTGAACTTCTTTAAGTTTGCCAACTATCAATAAAAAGCACAAGAAGAAGTTTGCTTTTTATGTTGGCGTCATGGTGGATCCTAGAGGTAAAAGTGAGAGAGCGATGTCTTTGAAGTCAAAGCAAAGAGCTAAAGCCAGAATGAACATCGGTGAGGTCCACGTGACGGTGGCACAAGAGTTAAGTGCTCGCCCCGTAATCAGAAGGTTGCAGGTTCAAGCCCCGCTCAGTTTGGCGCTGTCGTTGTGCCCTTGGGCAAGACACCTAACCCACCTTGCTTGCTGGTGGTGGTCGGAGTGACCGGTGGCGCCGGTGTACGGCAGACTCGCCTCTGTCAGTGCGCCCCGGGGCAGCTGTGGCTACAACGTAGCTCATCACCTCCAGGGTGTGAATGTGTGTGTGAATGACTGGTTGTGTTGTAAAGTGTCTTGGGGGGTTCTAGGACTCCGGAAGGCACTATATTGAATACGGGCTATTTACCATTTACACTCGTCTGAGCCAGCTAAAGGAGGCTATGAAACCCCGGACTGATGGTGACCTGGCTTTGTTGCTACTGTATTTGTAAGAAATAATATTTTTGTCCAAAAGAGTGGATCTTTTCACTTTGTGGCTTTTTTTTAGTATTAGATGGCTCATGTTAGATCATTGTTAGCGCTAGCGGCGTCGGGGTTGTTTACGGCCGTTACGATAACTGATAAATGACCCGCACTTGTACAGCGCCTCTCAGAGTCCGAGGACTCCAAAGCGCTTTACACTACACTGTATATCATTCATCCATTCACACACACATTCACACACACTGGCGGGGGTGAGCTACGATGTAGCCACAGCTGCCCTGGGGGCGCGCTGACAGTTGTGATTCCACATTCAACCAGCAGGACGGAGAAACAGGAAACTGTTTAGTGTCGCTTTAAGGCAGCAGCAATCCACTTAGGTTGTTCAGACATCGCAGCTTTTTAATCTATGATGTTTAAACTTATTTGTAAAAGTAACGCATTTCCTCTAACAACCAAAACACGCCTCTGCTTCATTTAAAAATGTCCGTTTATTTGATTTGAGACATTTTCCAAACTCAGATGTTTCTTGTGTGCTCTCTCAGCTCGCGTGCATTCTTCCTCCATGAAAATTACCTCCTTTTCACACAAGCTGCTGCATTCGCCTCCATATTAAAGTGACAGACATGGCGACGCACGGATGAACCTTGTATCAGGTTAGAAGAGCATGCTGCCTGCAGGAAGCTGCCACACACAGCATGCAGTCCCAACACACTCTGAGACACTGCATGCAATTCCAGTTTACCTCGGAGGCACTCTGTCGATAAATCTTTTTCTTTCGCTTTAAACTACCAAACGTGTTTTCCAAAAGCCCCTGGCAGCGCCTCCAAAAGCTTTTACAGGCAGAAGATTGAGGCACAGTGGGCTGAGGGAGAAAATGAGGAGAAAAGATG